AATTAAATATATTTAAAATAGAATTTAAATGAGTGAATGACCTAGAATTATCTTGGTCCCCCTAGAGCAGGTGTCAGCTTTGGGGGATGTTTTTCCAAATTAGTGCCTCACCCTCAAGGGACAAAGGAACCTGTGGGAGCTGGGAGGGCAGGTGGAGGCCGGGCAGGTGGAGATCACGGCCTGGGGTCTCCTGGCCCGCACTGGGAATAATGACTCGAAGAGGAGGGGATGATAGGAGGAGGCAGAGGGGTCACCTGAGTGCTGGGAGTGACAGTGGAGGTATGGGGCGTCCTGGTGTGGTCGGGTGGGAGGCTCATCAGCTGGGGGAGGAGGCGTGCCCAAGGCCGCTTGCCCCGCCCCGCCCCGCCCCCTCCCACCTGGCCTGGGGCCGGCTGGGGCTCAGGGTTTCGCTTTCAGTCGCCGGCTGGTGAGCGCAGCGTAGCCTAGAGAGAAGGCGCCGGGCTGCGAGGGCGCGAGGGTAGGGGGCAGCCGGACCCCCGCATCCATGGCGCCCGCCGCCGTCTGGGCAGCGCTGGCCGTCGGACTGCAGCTCTGGGCCGCGGGACACGCCTTGCCCACCAAGGTGGGTGACTCGCGCGGCCCCTGGGGGGACAAGCCGCCCCACTTGCCCACCCGGCTGGTGCGCAGCCCTCGGTTGCCCGGGCCGCGCTCTCCCGGGGCGCCGTCACGGGCTGGGAGGTTGGGGGTCCGAGTCGCCGCTCCCCATCCGCATCAGACACGCACCGCGCGCCTCTGGAGACCCGCCAGGGACCCCGGACCCAGCACACGTGCGCTCGGGGAGCAACTCTGGCCCCTAAAGCCCCGTCCGCGTAGTGACTGGGACGCATCCTGGTTCCTCCGCGAGCGCAGGCCGGGGCGTTTGGGGCTGAGCAGCGGGCCCTGGGCAGACCCCCGCTGGACCCCCGGGACCCCTCCTCCCTCACCCCGGCGACTGCTGCGACAGCTCTTCCTCCCACGCGGAGGAGAAGGGGCTGTGCCGGGGCGCTGCCCCACTGCCCACGCCGGGTACCCTCTTCAGAAGACTTCCTCCTCCTTTGGGCGACGGTTTTCCGATTTCTTAGAAATACCAGGGTCATGTGTCTGAAGAGCAGGCCCGGGTGTGTGCCAGGCCCACTGAGGGCGCAGATGGATGGCGAGCTGCCTGCCCGCCCCCTCCGGATGCGTCCGGGTGCTACTGCAGAGTCTGTTCTCTGTGGCCTCTGGGGACAGGGGAGGCGAGGGAGGTCCGTGCTGGTAATCGAGCAAGGCAAATGAGGTCTCCCGGGGCCCCAGGAAAATGGAAACGGCAGAAACTCTAGGGCTGCCATTCAGTGTGAACATCACTGCCACGATAGCAGCGGGTCAGCAAGGGACTGTGCACTCTGCCTTTTTTTGACTGTCTCCTGGTTTGGTAAAATAAGATAACCCCATTTTTCAGAGAAGGACATGGGGCTCAGAGAACTTGTATTTTCATGGAAGGGCATGGGGGAAGCTCTTCCTCCAAAGGGGGCATCTCCTGCCTTTGGCCCCTGTGCCGAGGCTGTGAGGGAGGTGGGTGTTCATCCTTCCTCAGAGCCACCCCTGATGGCTTCTGTAGTGACATAAGGTGGCTCGTTGATCTGAGGCCAAAGAGTCCAGTTCTTGTGGGTGGAGGATGGGGGCTGTCAGACTAGAATTGACTCATCCACAGTGGGTGTCAGGAGTGGGTCCTGGGGAACTGCCCCAGAGGAAGTCCTGGGTGGCCTTTGGGTCAGGAGAGTCCCCACTCTAGGCCAAGGGTGAATGGGGATGACCATGGTCCCCAGTTTGACTTTGGGGTCATGCCATAGACTCTGGCCTCAGAGGGGGTCTTCCTGCCACTGCGCTCAGGCCTGCTTGGGTGAGCTCTTGGGTCATGTGAGCCCCCTGATGGGAGAGGGGTGGCAGGCACAGGGCTCTGTGGCACACCAGGCTGCAGTCCTGGAGTAGGTGGAAGGGGTTTCCCCCCACCTTCCTTTCCCTCCTGACCAGCTCCTGCCGCAGCTCAGATTCCTTCCTCCTCCCTGCTCCCCCTACCCCACCTGGACTATTGCCGCAGCCTTGTAGCTGGTCTCCTGGCCCTGCCCCCTCTTCCCGCTGACCCTCGGCAGAGAGACCCTTTTCAAGCATGAGGCACCTCTCTGTTTGCCTGGGGAGCCTCCTGCGGCTCCCAGTGGTCGAGGCAGAAGCTCCCCTGGAGATCCCAGGCCAGAGTAAGGTACCTGAATTCTTCCTCCCACCTCGCTGCACATGTACTCCCCGGCCCCTGTGGAACCGATGATGGTCATTGTGTCTGTCATTGTGGAAAAAGCATTGTCCGTGCCACCCCCTCTCCAAGGGATGCTCCTTGCCTATATCCTTCAAGGCCTTCTGTAAATTCCATTCTCTCCGGGAAAGCTCGTCCTCTTTCTCAGCTGAATTTGATCTTTCAACTGCCTGGGCCTTTTGCTCCCTTTGAGGACAGATTGCATTCTGCTTTTTATTCTAGTTGTGTTTCATTCCCCTCAATGGATAGAAGGTGCCTTGAGGGCCGGGCCTGTGGGTTCCTGCTCCTTCTCATTAGCAGCACTGCAATAGCGCCTGATTTCTGAATGCCCACTAAGCACCAGACGCTGTGCTTAGTACTTTGTCACAGAATTGTGCTGACACCTCCCTTGCAACAACTCCCAAGAGGTGGCTGGTGCCGTTCGTCTTTAGAGATGTGGAAACTGAGGCCCAGAGAGGTGATGGCATGTCCCAGGATCACAGAGCTGGAGGGCTGGGGAGCTGGGGTGGGATTTGAATGCAGGTCTCCTCTCACTGCCCCCCACCAGTGCCCGCATCTGCAGTCCTGCTCCCAGCCGGGCCCTCACACACAGTGGGTTCTCAGGATGGATGTCAACTGAGCTGCAGAGGGAGCCCCCAGGAGACCTGAGCTGGCCGTGGATGCAGCTGACTCACTTTTGCCCCATTTAAAAGTCATATTTGCCAGCTGGTGTGGAAAGCATCATTCATTCATTTAGTCATTTATTCATTTGACAAATAAATGCCAGTAAAGCTGGCGGTAGGTGAGCACTTCGTGCCCTCTGATGGGGATGAGCAGGGCTTGGGCTGTCTGGGGAGGAGGATGAGGGGTCTCTGTCTGCTGGGCCTGGCCCAGCTACCTCTGGAAGTCTTGATGCTGAGGGGCAGCTGTTTGCCTCCTCATCACCCAGGGTCTGGGGCCAGTTTGGCTTAGAGGAGAGGTTGGGGGCTTCCAGCCTGGACATTGGAGAGGAGTTGGGTGATCTGGGGTTCCTGCTGTCCCTGGAGGCTCTTCCCTCCTTCCCCCGTATCTCTGTTTCTTTGCCCTCTGCCTGAAATCCCAGTGGGGAGCCTATGTGTTGACCGAGGGTGTGGTCTGATGGTCAGGCACCTTTTCAGAGGGCAATGGGTAGATGGTCAGGCACCCTGAAGCGGGGCCACTCATTCATTCATTCCCCCAAAGTTAATGGACACAACTACTCCAAGCCCAGCCCAGTGCCTGGCTCTGGGGACCTCGAGATGACTCCAGCTCCAGCTCTCTGGGAGCTACACTGCCAATACGTCACAGACCTCACAGACCTGGGCTTTGCCCCAATTGCCCCTGTGACCTTGGCTGAGCCAGTAAGCCTATGTTCTCATCTGTTGATATGGCAAGTATTCCCTGCCTGGCCCTTGTCACAGGGCCATGGGTGTGAAAGGCTGAGAACCTGCTGGGCATTCTTGTGTCAGAGGTGGCCCTGTGATCCTGGCACCTGGCACAGTGGCTCCCTGTAGCTCTGTCCCTCTCCAGGACTGGGTGACGCTTTATGGCCCTTACCATGCAATGCTTCCTGGAGGAGTAGCCAGGACTGGTGTGCAGGGGAAAGGGAGGAGTTTTGCCGGAGCCATTGCGTGTATGTTACAACCGACTCTACGCTAACTCATTTCTTACTTTTTTTTGAGACAGAGTCCTGCTCTGTTGCTCAGGCTGGAGTGCAGTGGCAAGATCTTGGCCGACTGCAGCCTGCGTCTGCCTCTTAGATTCAAACGATTCTCCTGCCTTAGCCTCTAGAGAAGCTGGGACTATGAGGTGTGGACCACCATGCCTGACTAATTTGTAGAGATGGGGTTTCACCATGTTGCCCAGGCTGGTCTTGAACTCCTGACCTCAAGTGATCTTTTGTTCCAATTTTAGTATATGTGTTGCTGAAGCGAGCACCAAGTGATCCTTGAGTGATCCTCAAGTGATCCACTTCAGCCTCCCAGCGTGCTGGAATTACAACCATGAGCCACTGCACCTGGCCCGTTCTCACTTTCAAGCCGTGCTTTTCTGTTCTCAGATGTGCTGCACACACACCTGCCCCGGGGCATTTGCGCTTGCTTTCCCCTCGCCTCCAATGCTCCTCCCACTGGTGTCCCTTGGTCTCCTTACCTCACTTCCTTCTGCTGAAATGGACCATCCTGCCTGTAGCCCCTCCCTGCCAGGCACTCTCACTCCCCGACCTGCTGTGTTTTCTTGTGTAACACTCTTGACCTATTCTATTTCTTTCACTTTTATTGTGTCTTCCAACAAGAATATAAGTACCCTGAGGACAGGGATCCATTCACCACAGTAGACCCTTGCCTAGAATAGGATTTTTCAATCTCAGCGACCTTGACATTTAATTCTTTGTTGTGGGACTGTCCCATGAGCTGTAGGACGTTTAGCAGCATCCCTGGCCTCTCCTTACTGAATAGCAGTAGTGCCACCCTCCCTGGTGACAAAAATCTCCAGATATTGCTAAGTACCCTTTGGGGTGGCGGGATTGCCTCTGGCTGAGAACCACTAGCTAGGACAGTGCCTGGCCCATAGTAAGTATTCAGAAAATACTACTTGACCCTCACCTTGATAATGCCCTGTTTTACAGATGAGGAGAGAGGAGGGTCTGGAAAGTGAGTGGTGGCAGGGGTTCTGTCTGCCTCCATCTCTTAGGATATTTTTTCTGGGCTCCCCTTCCCATTGAATGGGGTCTGCTGAGGTTAGGGGTCCTCTCCCCAAATTGTTCAACCCCCAACATCCCAAGTGTGTAGTTAGGGATGGGGCCACCTACTGGCGGTGACTCAGGGCCCCAGAATGCATGTGATGTGCCCAGACGCAGGTAAGGAGGGAAGCTGGGGTTTGGGGTGCCATGGGGTGAACAGGAATGAAGGAGAGATGCTGTCACTGCCAGTTCTGGACCCTCATCTGGGCACAGGAAAGCAGTGCTGGTGACTCTGGGGACAAGCCCAGGCCTCCGAATCAGATAAGCCTCAAGTCGTTGCTCTGACATTCACTGGCTCTGCGACCTTGGCCAGTCTTTCTGCCCCTGGGAGCCTCTGTGTTCTTATCTGTAAAATGGGAGTCATCCTAGCCTCACATACTGGCTGCCAGGATTCAAAGTGCTTTCTAGGCTCACTGGCAGCGATTTGAGCCATTGGTGGCTTTGCAGGTCTGACCTGGCTCTCTGGGCCATGGGGCTGTGCTCAGGCTTAGGCAGGGACCCCTGTGGAGTCAGACTGTCTGCTCTGAGCCCCAGGGCCCAGAAGCTTGGCTGGCAGCCCTGC